CAAGGACACACAGCGGTCGAAGCAGTTCTACATGGACGTCTTCGGCGTGCTCGACGACGACCCACTGCGCAACCCGAAACTCCCGTTCAAGGGCTCCTTCATGCGCGCCGGTGCCTCCCAGATTCACCTCATGGAGCTCCCCTCCCCAGACCCTGAGGAGGGGCGCCCTGAGCACGGCGGACGGTACGTCTCACCTTTTCTCTTCTCCTTGCCTTGCCTTTCCTTTACTTCCACCCCGCTTGCTCACCCGCATTTTCCCCATCCGCGTTTATAGGGACCGCCATGTGGCCGTCACCGTCAGAGACTTAGAGCCACTAATCGCCTCGCTCGAGCGCCATCACCAGCCGTTCACGTTTAGCAAGAGCGGGAGACGCGCTGTTTTCACGAGGGATTTGGACGCGAACGCCATAGAATTTATCGAGGATCCTTCTGCAGAATAGCCTGCCCTTTCCACACGCCCCGCGCCTAGCCTGTCACTCTTTCGCACTTCCGCTGGAGCACTACCGCTCCCCACCGTCCTGCACTCGCCAGCTGTTCGCGCGTGCAGTATTGCCCACGGTCTGTTTTCTGCGCCACTCGTACTTCAACGAGGCGGCGCATTGTCTCTGCGCCAATGAATCAGCCCTTCATACCTCATGCACCTCGTGCCCAGGGCACGCACGCCTTCGCTCCAACGCGCCGGTCAATCTGCTTGCGCTAGATACATCGAAGCCTACGCATTCGCACAGACATCGCGTAAGTTCAGCGCTGCTTTCCGCGCTGAAGCAAGCACTCGTGTTGTGGGAGTTAGTTCCTCGTGATGAACCCATTTTAATTTTCCAGGTTTATTAGCGTAGCTGTTTATTCTCAGCTCAACGCTTATTGCAACAGGGGGGCATGCGTCGAGACTAACCTAGTCGAGTGCATTGGAACGCAGATAGTTAATTTATATAAAGAGGTGTGGGTATAATCATTACGTACCGTAGATACAAAGCCCAAACAGGGGTTGTCGGCGCGATGTCCGCATCTCGAGTTGAGATATCAAGTGTTTCAAAGCCCGAGTGGCAGGGCGGTGCATTGAGACAAACGCGCCATCGTATTAGGCTTGTTGTAGTGGCGCACCTTGCGATTCTATACGTGAGGATTCCTTTTCGCTGTCGCCATAATTTTTCCTCCAACAGATGATTTCCATCATTTGAAAAAAGGACTGTACAGGCAGCGACTTACATCAATAAATCCGTTTTCTGGCAACCTTTGAAGGCCGACGCTGTTTGCACTGCTGCGAAGAAAGAGAACACAGGAGTGTACTGTCCTCCTGTAACAGTCGCGCAAGGCAGGGGGAAATGGAGAGCAGCGCGAGACGCAACGTGCATGACTGTATAGTTGTCTGCGAGGGAGGGAATTGCGTGGCGTATACGACGTGCATCCACGCGGTCTGGTATTATAAATCGGTATGGAGATGGAAGCAGGTGTGCCCCTTCGCTGATGTTGTCATTGTCGTAGTCAAGCTTTGTGCGGGAGTACTTTTGACACTGGTGCACTTCACACCGCAATCGGGATGAAAAACAGAAAAACGGGAGGCAGACGCCAGCAAAATGCAGCACGGTGATTGGCGAAAAGCACCAAGTTCTCTTCTGCGCAGAGTACACAGAACCGTAGCCACCCCTGGAACTCCCCATCGTGTACATCCGAGGCACGCCCCACGCACCCTTTAAGTGCTAGCCCCCAACCCTTGTCGTTCGCCACGCCCAGTCACACAAACGCCAGTTCCATTCTCCCCTGGAGCTTTTCTGAAAATGAGCACGGTGATGTCAAGCAACGCAAACTCTCAAGGAAACAATAAAACCGTCAACCCCAAGGCGGCCGAGCTGCGGCGTCTGAAAGACGCGCAGCACAAGCGGTCGCCGACACAGCACCCTCCGCGGCTGCTGGTGCTGGTCGGCATCCCAGGTATGCCTCTAGCGCCCGCGAAGACGCACGGCAAGCGCGAAAACGGTTAGCACGCATCCGGCTACTGACCACGAAGTGTGCACCATGCGCAGGCTCGGGCAAATCGACATTTGCCAGCGAATTAAATCAGCTCGGCTTCCAAGTAATCTGCCAGGATGAGCTCGGCAACCGGATAGCGTGCGAGCGCGCGACGGTAGGCGCGCTGCTGGCGGAGAAGAACGTCGTGATTGACCGGTGCAACTTTGACGCCAAGCAGCGCAAGCACTGGGTCGGTAAGCAGGGGCGCTTTTGCGGCGCGCGAGAGAGCATGCGGTCAAGGGTCGAGCGCGTGGGGATGAGTTACTGACACGGTTAGTGCGTTGCGGGAGTAGACTATGGGCGCGCTAACGGGGCGGAGATAGGGGTCATCGTGTTCGGCACGTCGCTGGAGGAGTGCAAGAAGCGCGTAAGGGAGCGGACGAATCACAAGACGTTGCTGCCGGGCGTGAACAATGACGCGATCGTGACGGGCATGTCTAGGAAGTTTGTGTTTCCGAATGAGGAGGAGGGGTTCGGGTTTTGTCGCGTGGTTCGCAGCGCGACGGATCGGGCGAGGGTGATGGAGGAGATTGAGAAGTGGGTGATACGGACGAGGGAGTGAAAGATGATTGAGGGCGGTTTATTCAGGGGGAAGTGGAAACGGGATATCAATCCTCAGTGTCCATGGCGTCTGGGTCGGGTTTGGAGACGGCCGGAGTTGAGGCAGACGACTTGGATTTGGACTGGCTCGGCGCATTCTTAGTGCTGAGGAACTGGCCGTAGTACTCGGACTTGACGTCGTAGATCATGACGTGTAGGTATATTTGTGGAAGCGGGGGACGGCGAAGAGAAGTTGAAGCTTGTTGATGGAAACGGAGAAGGAGCGGACGGGTGCCGGCGTGCTGCCGACATCCCGTTTTATTTCTCCATGGCAAATCAGACAGCGTCTGTACACGCAATACAGCAATGTAGAGAGACGAGCGGATCAAAGCATTTGACTGTAAACAACTATTGAAAGCTTACAGATGATTCAGGAGCGCAACATACGTGGACACGTGGCAGTGCATTGCCACAAGGGACCAGCACCTCCCCCTCATCGACCTTTGATCAACGGTTAGCAATCAGCACCGCCGCACGGCCCCTTCATCATCATCGTCTCACCCGACAAATGCCATCACGCACGACCCGCGCTACCCACACCTCCTTTCCTCCGCGCCGCTCCGCCCAGACCATGCATGGCGTGCCTAGCCCCCCACATAACCCTATCTGAAGCCGTGGTCACGTCCATCACTTTCACCCTTCTCTATGTCTCCTCCTTGCACCTGCCGTTCAACTCGGGCGACCGCAACCGCCGCCCCGTCATCCTCTCGCGCCTGGTCACGCTGTCCATCCTAGCCACGTTTCTCGAGTTGTACACGCGGCGACGCATCCCGGCGCTCACGGACAAGATCTCGTCGGGCACGCGGCTCCCCGCACTGGCCGTGGCGGCCGCGCTCACGCTGCTCCTGTACGCCGGCCATCTCATCGCCACCCCGCGCCGCGCCCTGCTGCAACCGGCGTCGCGCGACCGCTACATCGCGCTGCGCAACTACCTGGCGGGCCCGGTGCTCGAGGAGGTCGTGTTCCGCCGCCAGACGCTGCTCATCTGGAGCTGCCAGGGCGTCACCATGAGCCTGCTGTTTCCCGCCGCTATGTTCTCGCTCGCGCACGTGCACCACGTGCGCGAGCTCGGCCTTGTCGGCCTGCTGCTTCAGATGGCCTACACGTTTTTGTTTGGCATTTACGCCGCCGCATTGTACATCAACACACGCACCTTCTGCGCGCCTTTCGTCGCCCATGTCATTTGTAACCTGCTCGAGCTGCCGGACTTTTCCTCCATCGCCGCGCACCCGCGACGCAGAGGCGTCATGGCCCTTTACTGCGCTGCATTGGTCGTGTTCGCCTTCGCCTTCGGCCCGCTGACCACCCTCGTACAGCCTTATCAGCTGGAGACTGAGTAGCGATGAGGGCGGTGGAGGTGGTGGAATCTTCCAGTAGTCTTGAGAGAGCTGATTGAACACATTTTGATCACCGCCGCGCCGATTTCTTTCGATTTTCATCCATTTCGCATTTACTCAAATTCGCGCCATTTTCCCGCCCATAGCCACGACACATTCACCGGCCCGTGATCGCACCCTTACCATCATCCACTTTTCAGAAATCCAGCTTGGCCTTTGAAGCCCTCTTCCCCTACTCACTCATCTACCCTTCCCCTCCTCCTAACGCCCCCCCACTCGAGAATTCGTCCCATCCGGCCCCCACCATGGCTCCTCTGCGGGCGGGCTTACGGGCAGAGCTTGCCCTCATTCTTCAAGTCGACCCGTTCACAATGCATGACCTCCAGCCCGACTCCCTCGCCCCCACGGAGCCCACCACGACCCATCTCGCCCAGCTTATCCTCGCTAGCTTCTCGCACCCTGATGATATCCGCATTGTCTACGAGTTTCTCCCACTCCTCATGCTCCGCGTCTTCGGCTACCGTCAAGGCCACGGCTGGCTCGAGACTGCCTCCGAACTCCCCAGCAAAGATCGCGACGCTCTTATCAGGTTCACTATGCCTGGAGGTCCCATCGATACCTACTGCCGACGCAACTCGCCCCCCCGTGATGCAGCTGTCAACTTTGACGTCGACATGAGGTTTGAGTTTCCTGTCTCCAGCTTGCCGCTCGCCACTAGAGATGCCCTCAGGGAAGGGCCATCTGCTGCGCTTGTTAGGCCGATCACAGACGGACAGTCTTTTCTGGCCCCCTTCTTGTTCTCTTCGCTCAAAGATACCGATGAGAAGAACGTCTACCTCTCCCCCATAGATTACTTTTACATCTGCATGGTCGCCTCTCCCACACGCAAATGGGCGCCGTCTTCTGGGCAGAACCCCGCCCGCCGCGTCCGCAGATCTGCGTCGCTTCCGTCTACACGCGCCCTATACAACCGTACCATTGCCTCGTACGCATCCGCTTTGAATGGGACAGATCGCGTCGGGCCGAACAGTTTGTTCTTGGCCACCTGTCTCGACTTTCTGTTTATGCCCTGGGCCTCGTACCGTCCGTCGTCTGAACCCCCAGTCGCGTCGACCAACGCGGCAGAGTCGGTCACCAGTATTCTGCTTGCCCTTGCCCCCGCCGCGCCGTCCGCTCTTGACTTGGACCTCGACTTTCACCCCATGGACGTCCCGGACGAGCTGGACTGGCGCATCCAGACCAACACGTCTGCCGTGTACCGCGCCGCCGAAAAGATGCTCGAGAACGTCTTAAAGCACTACGAGCCTGAAGCCTCGCTCGGGCCCTTGGTCGCCTACATGAGAATTCTCGCCCTGTACATAGCGCCGTGGAGAGCGTCGATTCGGAACGGCTTGAGCGCTTGCTTGTTTCCGAAGAAGAAGACGTCGAGCAGCAGGTCGAACCATCGCACGCCCTCCATGGCCGCAATTACGTCGACACTGTCCTCAATCAACGCGCACCTCGCGTCGCCGTCTGGGTCGCCGGGGAACGCATCGAGCGTCAAGGAGAGCCAGTGGCGCACTGAACTGAAGGAGAGGCAGCGTTCTGTGGACGACGAGCTGCTGCGGCTGGCGATTGTCAAGGCCGCACACAGACGGTTTCCAGCCTTTCCAGAGGGGTCGAGGGTGCTCGCTGTGCTCGCAGAAGCCGCCCAAGCAGCGCGGCTCGCGGGGACGTGGAGTAGCCGGGAAAGGGACATGGACAAGGCCGAGGAGTTGAAAAATTGCTTGCTTGCGCTGCGCAATCAGATTGCGGAATCGGAGCGCAGCAGTGCGCGAAGGGAGAGGAGCTACATTGGGACGCTGGCAGCGAGTGTGGGGATTCGGCTGGAGTCCGGAGTGCTAGGTGGGATATCTGAAATGGTGGGCGTGGGTGGCTCGAGCGGTGTGGCTGGGGTGGTGAACATGCTATCTGGGTCACCGCATGGGAAGAACTTAAAAGAGCTTCGGCAGCGTCGGTTGTCCGTGTTTCGGACGTCGGACGAAGAGAGCGTGCCTTTCCTGGGCAACGTGTGGGACCGGCCGATTGCGGAGGGGGAAAACGAGGTGGTGGTGGTTTGGTTGTACTGGTTGGCGCTACGATTAGAACCGCGTCTGGGGTATGTGCCCAACTTGAGGTTTCTGGGGCGGTACTGGATTTTACTGCTCCTTTCTATCGTCGTGTGCTGCAGCTACTTTGTCAGAGGACTGATGACTCTTAGTTTAGGATAACTGTTCGGATGCAAAGTACGTCCGAATTAACTTGACTCTTAAAACGACTTGACAGTTAACGACTAACCATCAACGCTAGGACAGTTTTGATCAGCGAAGTACAATCGCGAAACGAGCCGAGACTGATAAGAGGCATGACGACGTCGTGACGCGATTTCCGTCTTGTACGCGACTCGCAAATGTAGACGTTGGGGAGGCGAAGAGGTGTCGAGTAGAGTGTCGAGCGGAACGATGCAGCATGCAATGGATTTGAGCGCTTGTTCGCAAGGATACGCGCGACTCTTTTCGGCAGAACAAGACGTAAATGGAAGTAGGGAGGACAGGGCAGAAGAGAAAGTGCGAGCCAAAAAAAAAAAGAAAAAAAAAGAAAAGTGTTGAAGATAGATACACACAAGTAGGAGTACAGGGGAGTGCGCGTTTTGAACAATCTACAGGATGAAACGAAGCGAGAGACACGCATTAGCGACTTGGCGGCAACAAGAGGAAGATGGGGCTAACATTCGACGCTCTTGGAGGCGCATCGGCGGACCTTCTTCTTGTAGGCGTTCCTATCTGCATTGTACAGCTGCGCGGCCTCTGGGTTTGCCGGGCTAGACGGGTTGGGGTCTGTGAGGAGCGACTGAATGGAGGTGAGGATGGTGTTGACGGTGTAGATGGGGGACCACTTGTCCTGGATGATGTCGAGGCAGAGGGTGCCGTCGGTGTAGACGTTGGGGTGGAACATCTCTGCGGTGAAGCGAACGCGGGGGGGTTTTTCGGGGTATTGCTCGTTGAAAGTGAGACGTAAGCTGTACACGCCGCCTTCCCACGGGGTCTCTGGCGGACCGAAGATGGTGGCGCCCCACACGAAGAGGTTCTCTTCGCTGAGCGGGCTGGCGCTGCAGCCCTCGGGCGGTTCTTGTCGCATGAGCTTGAGATCGGTCATGAGGCGGAGACGGGCGGCGGAGGGTGACGACTGGGACATGGTGGCGGGGTGCCTCTTGCGTTAGGCGGCTAGTTTGATAAGGAAAAGGATGCGGGCGGGAAGCACGCCAGGGCTGTAAGAGGCGTGTGTTGCTAGCCGGTCGGCAAGAGAGGAAAAAAGCAAAACGGAGATGCGCGTGTTTGCGTGCTGTTTGTGTGTTGTGTGTGTGTGGGGGATGGGGAGCAAGAGGTGGCGGGAGGGAGGGATGGGTTGATTATAAAAAGGAGATGAAATTCGGGGGTGGAAATGTTAAGTTTTTCTTGTCTTTTTTTGTGTTTTTCGAGATGCACGAAGCGAGTGCGCTGGAAGCGTGCGGAGACGGGCCAATTGCGAGAGAATTGGACTTGTTTTTGTACCCTACAAAGCAGAGCGGGGGCGAAAGCGCGGGGAAGGAGATGTTGTGGAAAACGAGGCGCGGTCCGTGCCCTTGTGTACGGACGCGGCGGTAGGCGGGGAACGTGTGGCGGCGCGTGGAGGCGGGTGGTGGCGGTGAGTGCGGGTCGACAGGAGGTACACACACGGACGGCGTGGAGGGCGCGGCGCACGGAAGCGGGCAGGTTCGAAGCGGCGGGTCGAGGCGCGTTGCGGGAGGCGAGGGAGGCGGAGCGGAGCGGCAGCTGCGCGGCGGGGGGAGAATTAGAAGGGGAGAGACCACGAGGCGAGGGGTTGAGGGCGAGGGGGGGAGGGCGGCGGAGGGGCGGCTTCGTGCAAGGGCTCGCAACCAAGGAAGGGAAGGGGAGGGGAGGGGAGGGGGGTAAACGTGCCAAGGGGGTGGAGGGCGGTGTAGGGCGGTGAGGGGTGAAGGAAGGGTGGGGGGAAACTAGCGGGTGTTGCAAGCGGCGTGGTTTAAAAAGGGAATCCGGTGCGCGCGACGTTCTCAGCGAGTGCGTTGGAATGGTGTAACCGCGGCATGTCTCCTAGCGTTGCGTGGGGGGGGGGGGGGGGTTGATGGTTTTTGGAGGTCGTGTCTATATATTT